GAAAAAAAAAGAATTTTAATGCAAATAAAATGTTTTCGTAGGTAAAGAATTAAAATTACACTAAACATGTCTATGTAGTAAAAAGCACATGCTTTAATAAATATTACATATAAACAAGAATACTATACATTTCTCATTATTAGTTTCTACATATTGTATTCACGGTTATTATCGTACAAATAATTAACTGTAATTTTTATTCGTAAAAATAATATAAAATATAAAAGGCTGTATTTAATATTTTAAGAATATGTATAGAACACCGCGTTAATACATAAAAACGTAATGAATAAATACAAAGGCTATTTTCATTATTTGACATGAGCACGTGTATATGTCTGTCTCGCTCATATGGTTCATTCCTTTCACTCTCGCATCTAAACGGGCACTTGTTGATACACGGGTGCGCATGAAATGCATAAATTTGCTAACGCGTTTGTGCGCAGCTCAGAAGTACGGGAGCAGCTATACGTATCTAGAAAAACGGATCACCAACTAACAGCCCACCACGCGGCGACCCACTATTCGTTCTCGAGCGTCATGGCATAAGGACCTCGCAGCTTACTCTCAGCGAGACTTGTTATCTTCGAAAACGCTATATGTCGCGTCGATGAGGGCCCCCGGGGTTACATAGATGTTTCTGTCTTTAAGATATGTCGCGTAACAACGGGGGCAGATTATAGATCACAGTTCGTCGTGCCCCATTTTCTTACTGCCCTATATGGTAGTCTAAATGTAGGCACGTCGAACACGCCGAGAGCGAGACGAGTTAGCGACCGCTGACCAAAGCGGATAAAGTTGGTGCTACGGGAGGCCAAATTCCAAGCCCTGTACCTGGGCCTGCAAAGTCAAAATATGACATGTAGGACTAGGTACAACTGGCTAATTGAGGTCGGACTCGTAGTAGTATGTCGTAAGGCCTCAGGCTTGTTACGTGTATCGCTGTGCCTGTTCCAAGGTGCAGGTATACGCGTCTCGGGAAACGCCATCGCGAAGAGAGTAAAGTTATAATTTCCTAGAGTTGTGCCCTAGTAGGACGGGGGAAGCGAGGATGTTGCGTAAAAAATTTTTAAAATTCGTAATTTTAAAAATAGCAATAATAACACAATTATAGTAATTGTATAAACACGATTAAAATAATAAAAAAAAAGCAATTAATAAAACCCCACCATGCAATTTTTATTCCCAGGCTGTGCTACAAGGCCACCCCCCACCCCTCGTGAGTAGGCTCCAGCGGACCCGAATTCATCCCTACTTTGTGATCAGAACAGGAGTAGGGTCCTCCAAGGTTTCTCCATTCTACTAAGTCAAGAGTGAGTGTATTCTTATGAATTTGAAGATGACACGGAAATACACGTTACTAGCCCAAAGCCTGAATTTATCGCTACGAGTCCGACCTTAATTCGCCAGTTGGACTCAGTCCCTCCTGTCATATTTTAAATATGCAGCTTTAGGCACAGGGCTTAGGAGCTGACTTTCCGTAGGATCAGTGGTATTAGATCTTTCTAACAGGTACAGTAATTAACGATTGTTAATGTCACTGATAATCATTTTTGAATTTACAACTCCGTGTTGTCGTAATCGCGCTATAAGGCGGAAAATTTTACATTTGTTACTCGAATCTTGGTTTCTAGTCGTCGTTCTGATGTTGAGGTTGATAATCCTGGATATAAATGTATTGAAGTTGTGTCTCATAGTCTCAGAACTGGTAGTGTATTAACTTACATTCCAAATGATTTGAAATTCAAAACTGTTAAGAACTTTTATAATAATGGTTTAAATAAAAGATATGTATAGATGTGTTCAGTTTTTATAGATTTAAATTGTGAAAAAACTGTCGTAAGTATTTTTTATCATTCGCCAAGCACTAGTGATGATCTATTCATTTACAGACTCATACAAGAGTGTAAATTCCTAATTGATTTTAGGTAAAGTAGCACTAGTGGATGATTTCAATATCAATTTTTTGAATGATAATCAATATAAACGAAAGCTGGATAAAGAAATGAGTCTTTTTGGTTTGAAACAGCTAGTTTATCAACCTACTCGTGTGACTGATAGATCTGAAACATTGATCGATCTGGTGTTTGGTGGTAAAAAGGATCTTAGGAATTTTGTTCTTGATGATTGTTCTATTACTGATCATTCTGTAGTGGCTATTAAATTTATTAATAATAATAAAATGTGTAATGAACAGACCTCAGGAAAGAATAAAATTACGTACACTAGAAGTATTAATAATTGTAATAATACTTTATTGCAAGGAAATACTGACGTTCTGTTTGATAAGTAAAATTTAGAAATCACTGAGTGCAATAATGATGATTTCGATGGTTTGATTGAAAGTGCAATTAGTGCAATTATTTATAATTATGAGATCAGTTGCCCAATGATTGAAAGGAGTATTCCAGTTATTCACTTGAATAAGCCCTGGATTAATAAAGACAGAAAGAGAAAATAAAACACAAAAATGATTTGTTTGTGCAGGCTAAAGTATCTAAGTGTGATGTTGTGTGGAACTTGTTCAAACGTATGCGTAATAATATTGTATTATGTGCAAGATTTAGTAAAAAATTATATTTTGAATCGCAAATTGATGATAATAAATTCGAACCAGTTAGAATGTGGAGATTCTTGAAAGAAATCTTAGGTAAAAGCAATAGTAGTCGTCCGTTTGATAATATGTTATCTTCTAATTTAAATAAGTTAGAACTTGGAAATAGATTTAATAAATTTTTTATAGATAGTATTAATAAGATTGTTCTAGGTGATGAAAGCAATAAGATTATAAGGGATATTAATTATGTATGTGTTGGGATTTTTGCTGATTTTAAAATGGTTGAACAGGAATATTTGAATAATATTGTCAAATCATTAAAAAATAGTAAAAATTGTGATATTTCCTTCTCTGGCGTAGCATGTAAAAAACTATGGGAATTAAATCCCAACATCATTGAACTATTTGAGAATGTAAGTTTAAAGTATGCTACAGTACCTAATTGTTGGAAAAATTATATTATTCATTCAATACCAAAAATAGTTAACCCAAATAAAATTGATGAATTCAGACCAATTAATACATTGCCAATTATTGAAAAGATAGTAGAGCAAGTAGTTAAAGACCAATTATTAAAATTTATCAATAAAAACGACATTCCTAGGAGTGAACAGTCTGGTTTTAGAAGCAAGCACTCCTGTGAAACTTTACTTAATGAAGTTTTAAGTAGGTGAATAAGGGTGCTTGATGATGGTGATGTGGTTGGAATTGTCTTTATTGATTTTAAAAGAGTCATTCAGGCAATCAGTATAACATTTTCATGAAATAAAATGTATAGATATGGGATAAGAGGCAATGTATTGAAATGGTTTAGTGTATATCTTGAGAATAAAACACAACAAACAAAAATTGATAATGTTTTATCTGCTAAGCAGAATGTACTACATGGTGTACCCCAAGGGTCCAACTTAGGACCACTGTTATTTACATTGTATATAAATGATGTGATAGATGAATTGAAAGCAACAGGTTGTGAATGCAGATTGTTTGCTGATGATTTAATAATTTAAAGAGCAGTAGATATGTAAAAAATATAGAAGTGAATGTAAATAAAAGTCTAGATATGTTAAGAGACTGGATAAAACCTAACTCATTGGGAATTAATATTAAGAATACTATACTTATATTAATCTGCAATAGTAGAAGAATAAGTTCTGGTGAAAAATGTCAAATAAGGTTTGATAATTATCAAGTCGGAGAAGTTTGTAAAACCAAATATTCCATCGAATTATTAATAATAGACTGAAATTTAATGAGCATGCTAAATGGATTATAAGTAAAATAGATAGAAAAATTAATTGTATGAGTAGGTTAAAATTCACATTAAGTCATTTTGCTAAAGTAACATTATACAAAAGTATTATATCTCCGCACCTAGAATATTGCACTACAATTTTCTAAACCTCGATAAGAAGTATATCAACAAATTACAAGTATTGCAAAATCGTGCTATGCAAGTAATATTAAATGTTAACAGATATACGACGATTACAGATATGTTCGAGACTTTGAGTTTCTTATCGATTAGCCGAGGATAAAGTGTAATGTTTGTATTATTATAGATAAAATGCTCAATGAGATACTTTCAAATTATATTTGTGATATTGTGTCCTATAAGAGCCATAAGTATGATTTTAGAAAAGCTGATAATTGGGCGGTAAATAAAATAAGAACTAAAAGAGGAAAAAGGTGCATTGATTATAATGGTTTTTTATAGTATAATAAGTTGAGGAAAGAGTTAAGTTATTTTATTTTTGTTTTTCCGGTTATTTCTTTTATGAGAATACTTTCGATAAATGTATACTTTTCATTTCTTTTGTTTATGGATTGCGATTCCTACTTATATGTATATTCTTTGTATAGCTTTTGTTTTGCTAATAAATAATAATAATAAATTAGTGCAATAAGTTAAATAGGTATTTTTCCAACGTTATTGTTAACTTTTAGTTAGGCCGTTGCATTATTTATGGGATAATTGAGTACCTGTGTACTTTTTCCTACAAAAAATTATGACTTTATATAAATTAGTTCAGTGTAATATCAATGAAATTCATATGTTAGGTTAAGTATTGCAAAACACGTGCTTGGATATTGACAGCTTTTTTTTTTGTAAAGTCAATTTTCCATTGGAGAAAGTCAATGGATTGCCATATCTGTGTTCTCAGCTATTGAGAGTTTATTATTTTTCTAATTTTACATATTTCTGTAACATAACTGAGTTATTGATTTACTTTCATTAAAGTAACCTCTATTTTTCGTGTGCTGGAAGTGGAGATTTTCAATATCTTTATAATACTGATGTTAAAAATTGGATTACTATCTGCATGTAGTTGAATTTGTATTCTGAACCATGGATAATATCAAGTGTGGTGGGTGTAAACATAAATTAAATGCAGCATTTAGTGAATGTAGAGCTTGCCATTAGCTGTTTCATGGGACCTGTATGAAGAGAAAGCATAGAGCTATTAATCCTGTTGGTGTATTCGATATCTATCATGATGAGATTGTAGAAATGAATAGAGATTATACTAGTTTTGTTGTCTCTGGTGAAAGTGGAGGTAGTAAAAGATTCAGATATAATGCAGACAGGTAAAATTAATTTGAATGATAAAGTGGAGCTGATTTTAGAAAATTTAAAGACTATTAGTAAGTAAGAAATTGATAATAAATTGAAAGTAAGGAGAATGTTAGAAACCAAGCTTCTAAGTTTTAAGAAACTGATTGAATATTATTGATCGAAATCAATAATTTTACTATTAAAATGATTCTTCGATTGATATATGTTGTCATTGATGATCAAATATTCTTAATAATAATCTAACGTTGTTATTAACAATCAAACATTGTTATTAACAATATTCAATCGTTACTAACAATTAAATATAGTTATAAACGATTAAATATTGACATTAACGATCAAATATTGTTCAAAACAACCAAATATTGATATTAACAATTAAATTTTGTTATAAACGATCAAACATTACTGTACTGAGCCACGGGGCCATTGTTCAAGGTCCGTTTGCACAGAAAAGGCGGTCATTTTATGTCTTAGGTCTGCAGGTTATCTAGGTTCCCAAGTTGCCTTGGTTTTCTTCTGCGCCCCGGAACAGTCCCTGTCGATTTCCCTGTGGTTGTACGAAAGACCGTTATCTTTCGCCTCCGAAGATTCTGCTAAGCCCCACGGCCCCTCGGTTCTCTCAGCCTTAGGTAGGAGAGATCTGTAGCCCTGGTGTCAACTTAAGAGGTTGTCCCAGTTCCACAAGAAAACTGTGCGCCTGGTTCCCCAAGGGCATCGTAGTGGTAATAGCACTTTTTGTACTATTCAGTCATCAGCACCATAGTTTACGCCTTTGACTGTCCTCTGAGAGGCCTCTCGCTCATTGTGGTCAGAGAAAAGAGTATATTACAAATGGGTCTTGTCTCGGTCGGAAATCAAACTCGCTACCCATAGTGCGCTAGGATGGTACGTTACCACTCAGGCCACGATGTCAGTCTTATATTGTCATATTACTCGTAAGGTAGTTGTTGTGAAATATTATAACACCGAAAGTTTTTGTAGAAAGATAATAACAAATTATGTACAAAAATTGTTTGACGACTTTTTTCCATGTACAGTTCTTCTTCTTTCACATACATATTATTTATTCAATCAATAATCGATACCTACACATCTAAACCGTTTTGCGGAAGATCGTAGCAACGTTGCGCTTTACGCATTATATGTATATGATGCACACTATAATTTTCAAATATAATATGAAACTTTTAATGGACTATCTTAAATTTCCCTAACATTTTTTGCCTTAGCTGTGTTGCTATATTATTCACAGTCTTCTTCGCCATAACCAAGAAATGTCAATATTTTTCACGTACAAGCAAGAATATCATTTAAATGATATTGAAATTTAGTTCAAATTTTGTCATTACTTATTATTATACATATTTACGTATTGTGTTAGTTTTTGAAAGATTTTCTTAGGCCATTTAAATTTAATTAAAGTGGATTGAAACATAAAAGTGGTTTCTAATAGATTGTACATGTTAGAACTATTCATTTTGGATCAATTTTTTTTGGTATTCTCGTGTTGTAAATAATTTCAAAAATTTATCTATTTACAGCTAATGGTTCAGACAATAATTATGCAAAATTTGACATAAATTTGTCGAGAAAAATTGTTCACAACTACATTAATCATTGATTCTGGAGGATCGTAGGGATTGGCTTATTGGAAGTTTACCAGACATTCTTTATTTATATTTTCGTAATGCATTTACATTTTTAATTTATTCATCCAAATTGAGGCGGCAATATAGGTAAGTTGTTCTTCTCACATTCTTGCTACGTCTACTTTGGCCTCTTGCCGCCCTCTACTGAGGCCTCGACCGGCCTCCACCATGTCCTATTCTTTCTATAACGATAATTTCAAGAACAAAATGAAGTGAATTAAATAATTTAAAATTCTTAAATAATTTTCTTTACTTTTTAAGGATAAGCTCCATGTCCTTTCTTCTTTTGTTTTTGTTGTTGTGATAGTGATTGTTGTTGTAATTGTTGTATAGACAGCTGTTGTATGTATAGCTGAGGGTGTGTGTATGCCTGTCGTGATAATACGTAAGGTTATGGTTTTTGTAGCAGTATGTATGGCTGTTGTATATATATATATATATACATAATTCCCATATATACATGTATATCATAATTTTTTGAAATTATTGAAAAGAAAACAAATATTATTTTTCAATTAATTCATTAAAAAGGCACTCAACGGCAAATTTCGTCGGAACGCTCAAAAAGGTTGGTTTTGGTGCGCGCGTACAGAGCGCTGCACCCTTTTACCTGTAACAAGTAAGTCTATGCTCTCGCAGACTTTTTTGTAAAAAATTCGATTTTCTACAAAAATGTTAGCTACATTCGTTTCGAAAAAACGAACGGTTCTCGCTGCGTAAGTAGTAAAAGGTCATGAAATGCACTTTGCCAAATTTCAATTGTTGATAAACAATGGTGGAAATCATTTTCAAACAATGACATGTAGCACAGATGCTAATCTCGTTCATCTCTACAAGAAACCGCCATCGAAACATTTTTTCTGCTTTTCTAAAATTAATGCATAGGAAATTCACACTGCTCTTGAACTGTTACCAGTCACGCCAAGTTTTAGGTCATTATGTTGATTGTGTCATAAGGCGTACTAAACTTTAAAAAAAAACTGAAAAAAATAATTCAATGCAAATATTGTTAATTTTTAGATGTAGGTACGTGGCGTTCAATTATTTTAGTTTTTTTTGTGTTCTATCAGTGTCATTTATGCATAACGCACATTATTGTACAGCCCAGAAAGAGGGGGCTGTTTTTGATGAGATTCTATCTTAACTATAAAACATAGTTTTGTTACAGTACAAAAAATATTTTTTAACAGCTAATAAATCTATGTTAATATCTTCTATCAGTATACCCGAGCGAGTTAAGGTATAGGATTAAGTCGCATGCGTTCGAGTTGTCATAAGTAAATTCATATTAAAGTGGTTCTGTACACATAAAACAGTCCCTGAAGAGAGCTCAATTATTTATTCTATTATTTATTTTTTGTAACTCGTCATACATTCTAGAATTACAAACTCTTTAATAGTACTGTAATAGTATTTATTACAGAACTTTCGTGAAGATTAGTTATTGCATGAACTCTGTATGTTTATTTCCAGACGTTCTTATTCAAAAATGTCATCTGAGCTTGGAGATAATTCATCAAAAAGACCTCTTTTACCAGAGTCACTGAGAGGAGATTCTCAAGGAACAGACGTATGTTTGGTTCAATGCGAACTTTATCGAGGATCAGAATCTCACTTCTCGCAACATGAAGTCCCGGTATCAAAATCTGGATCGTCTCAAGCGAAATTACATTCAGAGGACGTCGAAAGTGAAATACATGCAGAATCCAATCGACGGCCTCATTTAGATGGCACGTATTTTCAGTCAATTTCAAACAAATCTTCCTTAAACGGAACGATTTAAGCATTCTGCCAATTGCGTAGGAAAAAAAAAAAAAGATCATTTAATCTCTGGCATAATTGGAGCATTATCGAATTTCGTCTCACATATCAAGGTAAAAGACTTCGATAGTTTGATATTTAGTCGAGAGCCATCTGCACTTCATGAAATTTTAAATTAGTGGCATGACGCTATTCCCTATACTCAAGTGAATACGTTCGAACATACATTCGTTTTTGTGACACTCAACATTAAAAAACTTATCAATTCAAGAAAATAAGTACTACACTGAATAAAAACCACTCAGAGACATTTAGAAGCGTCAACAGGTGATCTTGCAGGTTACTCGCGATCACTTGTACACTTAGCAATTGATGCAGAAATTAATACAATTGAAGCATCAGTGCAAGTGTCCTACAACATTCGTGTATAACTCACTCAGTGTATTATCTTCGTGAACTATTTTTCATTGAATCTAAGAGCATTGTGTTGGTGGTGTTTATACTAACGCACACTTATTCAACCCAACGAAACATGGACACATAAACATCAAGTAAGTGATTATTCTAATTTGTAAACTAGTGTTCAAATAAATTGCATATTATTGTACGACCTATTCCTTGTAGTAATCATTCCAACACACTTATATCTGAGCCGAAATTAGTAAATGTTTCCAACCGTAATTATTAAGTGCTTAACAACATTCTCGAAATTTGTTAAAAATGATTCACTAATACTACAGTGAGTTCATAAATTCCACAATAATAATAATAAAGAAAACTTGGTGTAGGGAGATTATATCAATTATTTTTCTTGTTTCTTCGACGAAATCGAATTTAAATCTTCTAGAGTCGTTCGAATATGAGCTTGACTCGAATTATTACCGATATTTAAAGATACCTGGTTCGCCGCAATATCTGTACAACTGCATAAATTTCTGGTGCCTGTCTATTTGGGGTAATCTCCGAAACAGCTGATCTTATTGCAACCAAATTTTGCAAACATGTAGATGACATTGTAAGGAAGGATATATACTACTTTTTATTTATTGAAATTGTTTATGGCAATAAAATTTGTTATAAACAATAGAAAACGAGATCTATTTGTTATATTTCAGTTCTTCCAACGCGTAATTTTTTTTTCTGCAAGAATTAAGTTACAAACTATGCAAAGTGTATCGAAGCCTACTACTTTGGTTTATGACAATTGAATTCTTCGTAAAGGAGCATCAATTAAGTGTTACGATAAAATTCGGATTAATTCCTTTCGTTTTAAGTATTTATGTACATATTACTCATATTATGCATTAACTCGATCACACAGCATTTGGTTTTCGGAATTGGGTTATTCGCGGACGAAGTCGTAGAAAACTGCTAGTTTATACATGAATACATGATCGTATAGTTTATAACACATACATGTGAATACGTAATAAAAATAAAATCAGTAACATTTAATTGGGTTACATGGTCAGGAACTTTTTTTCATTGAAAGAAGAATTTACGTGACAGAAGAGCTAGAATTCATTGCCTTTATTTCTCTCCCTCTCATTATTTCATAAAGAAATCAATTGTTATCAAATTTCTCCACATATCTCCATAGCGTTTTTACGACGATTAGGTTTTACGGATTTGTCTTATTTCCAATAAAAGCAACAGATCTGATGTTACTAATTATAGACGCATTGCTGCGATATCCATTTTTTTAGAAGTATTTGAGACTATACTTTATGAGATACTTTTTTTCTTTTTTCAACCTTCTCTTAGCCTTCTGCAGCATGGGTATATACGAAGACTAATTTCTTTTGCCTAACTCAATACATTCAAAAAGTCTTTAGGACGAAAAAGCCAGGTAGTTGTGGTTTATATTAACTTTTCTAAGACCTTTAATACAGTGGATCATAGCATACCACTGAAAAGGTTGGTTAATCTTGGCATTCCTGGACAACAACAAATAGTTCTGGCCTTCTATCTAAGAAATTGTTTCAACTATGCAAGCTTCAAAAGATACTTGTCTTCACCTTGTACCTCAATGCCGACGTTCCACAGGGGTCTAATCTGGGACCGCTTTCATTTGTTATTTTCATCAACGACGTCTTCAGGGAACTTTCCTTTCAGTCTTTTCTCTATGCTGATGATACTAAGCTGTTTTTCAGGATTAACTCTGGGGAAGACTGTTCCGCTCTTCAACGAAAAGTAAACTAACTTAAGTTATAGTGTAAAACAAATCAACTAGGAATCAACTACTAAGAATGTTTAATTGTCCCCTTCTACAAAAACAAAAACCCGATTTTTACTGACTACTTTATGACAGGACACTGAATTTCAACGCTCATGTGGACAACATAGTTACAGCAGTTCTGAGAACACATGATCTTGTCACCAGGACTTCCAAAAATTCCACTAATATTGCTACCATAAGAGTGTTAGTGAATTTCGAGACAATGATCTTAGTGTTAAAAAGAGGACAAAATTGATATTATAAAAATAATTGACGATATGAGGTATAACCACGAATTTAATAATTTCATTCGCGATATAAAAAAAGATAAATTTAATGTTTTCTCTTATGTACAATTGCATGCATACAAGCGGTACCATCATTTGATGGAAATAGAAAAACAAAAATCATCAATCGCCATCAATGGTACAGGGAGCATATGTACAAAAATTGTATACGACAATGGTTGCACAAGTGGTCATATCTTTTTATATGCAATTATTATCAATTTTAGTCAATGTACTTTGTCAGTATATCAATTATTAACTGATGATCAAATCACCATATTAATTGAATTATGGTTGAAAAATTGGATTCGCATGGGTGCTCCAAAACCGGATAAGGTAACCTGTGATTGTTTTAGAGCATTGATCAATGCACTGGTATTGGCTTTTAATGAGCAGAATATAAAAAAGTATATCGAAACGCTTTTCTTAAATATAATTAGTAATCCATCAAGTAAAATGTGTCCACCAATCTCAACCTACTTAAGATTAGATGTTGCTTACTTCATCAAAATGATAGCTAACTGGCAGTGCATTAAGACGATTAAAATTATCAAATTAGAAAGTTTTATCTGTTTTGTGTAGCATTGCTGCACAGATAATAAATTAATTGGAAACGATACTAAAAAATCTATGTGTTGTGTATCTGAACTAGTACAGTGATTCAACTTTACGAAGCTGGAAGAGTGTAATAAAGGTTAGAAAGGATTTAGAAAATATCATCAGTGACCTTTCTTATAATTTAAGTGATGAAGTATTATCAATGAATCCAGAAGAAGCTGAACAAAAATTCAAAGAAATTTCAAACGATGAATCCAGCTCGAGTATTAAAAATTGGATTAACAGGAACCGAGAAGCAGCTGGAGAAATCGATCAAAAAGGTACAGAGGTGAATGGGTTTTACAACAAAAGCTTCATAGATGATTTTTTTAAAACCATCGCTTTAGAATTTCCGCTGCGATCTGCAGCATGTCTACCCGGCAAACAAGATCCCGCAACAACGAGTTATATTGAAGCTTAATTCAATGATAAGGAAAATCCCGTTCTATCGAATTATGAAAATCTTATCTGGGTGGACAAATTTTCAAAAATTGGATTTTGTTCTGACTTCGAGTCGGCCGACTGAGCAAACTGAAAACTAGTGGACTGTATGAATTAAGAGCAGAATAAGAACAACAGGTTGGATGCTAGAAGGTTCTAAAATATAGTTAATTAACACTGAATTGCTTGGGTTTTATAGTTTTTTTTCAACAATAACACTTAACATACTCAATAGAATTTAATAATCACTACATATAGTTGAGTTGACTGTACCATAATTGTTTGTACACTTATGAGTTGTCCAATGGTTATTTTTTCACCAAATAACATAGTCTCAAAAAACAGTGAATAGCAACATTCACAGTATACACCAGAGTTGTTCGGGGGAGCGATGTATAGGTGAATGTCCGTGAGGCACTATGGCGTCGACGCCAGTTCAGCTTCGCGCCCAAAGGCACTACAAACTGAATGTACTGGACCACTGGCACTGATGAGAGTAATTTGATGATTCACGTATCTTCGTGAGAGTTGTCTGAGTCTATTTGACCGTACTTGTAACTACAAAAGGTGAGCTGACTGAAAAATCTGCGATTCGACTGCGAACTATTGTACAGAGATGACTGCGTGATTTGCCGGGAGTTAACTGACGCCACAAGTGCTCGACCGCGTGCTTGTTGGCGTCACTAGGGCCGTAGAGTTGTCTTCTGGGCTATGAGGGAAATACTTCCCGATGATTGGTCCAGTGAGTTGACTGAAGCGCCGGTGGACAAGTCCGGCATTACGAAATTTTGATTATTCCTGACTAACTGACTTGGGCCCCTCCAAGTCAGAACAGATTTCAAGATCATTAAGGAGGATCAGCCATATTAAATATCCATTTGCTTAACGATTTGCAAGAAGTTAAAAGAGAATCACACGAAAGTAAAACAGAGGAAAATTGTCCAATGGATGAACCAAATGAAACCATGAATGAAGACACCAACACCTATGATAATCGGAGAAAAGCCTATAGAAAAAATTATTTTAGAGAAGGCAACAAAATAAAACAAAAAAAATGGGTTTCTATTTTTAAAGTTAACCTAGTATTTCTTTTGTTAACGATAACGCAGATGCAAAATATGACTACGAAAAATATGAAGATTTTAACGAATAGGAACTCATTAAGAGCCGTGTTAATCAACAATACGAATTATTGCGTAGAAAATAGTTGTCCTTTCGATTTAATTATTCAAATAATTGCTACGGCAGCTGTAGATGACCCATCCTTTCATTCCTTCGCTAAATTGAGTGTGTCGAAAACAATGAAATTTATGATCAATTACATTATAACCTTTAAAATGGACTCAATCTATAAAGAAAGAGCAAGGTTATTAGTGCCTATCATTCCAGAAAACATTAAATTAAATTCATCGAAAGAAGCATGTCGACTTTTTCCACAAAGATCGAATATGTGTTCTACATTAGTGGAAGTTTGGTCGAAATGTTTTACAGAATGTCCCAGTGGATTCGACATATATAATTGTGAGAGTTGTGGCCAATACACCACTGAAGTAACAACAATATGGATAATATCTCCAAAAAAACTGTGTGAGGAGGGCTATGGAGCACTGGGAAGCTACTCACAGCAAACATCGACTAATTTTTTATCTCCATGCTCTAAATGTTATCAAATTCGAAACGTCAGTAGAGTTTATAATCACTATTCGTTTGTGGAGTTAGAATTAAGAAAAGATTTGAAATCAGAGTTGTTATGCTGTAAACTGTCTGACCTGAAGAAAAGTATAAATTTTACAGTGAACAATAATCAATTCAGGTAATTATACATTTTCCTGGAGAGAATTAATATTAAAGCTATAGCTATGATTTTATTGATAACATATCACTATTGTTTACTGAAAAAAATTTGTCATTCAAAGCTTAAGAGAAGTAGTTGCTCATACTCCTGGAAACTTTAGAGCCTTCTGCAGTAGAAGCAGTAGACGATGGAAACTCTAGGATAGTCTATCAGATAGATCAATACCGATTGTGATGATCATAAAAGTAAAACTGTTCTAAATTTTGGATAAAAAAAATGATAACAAGCACGGTTATCACGTTGAAAGAATTAAAATCTAGGCATGTACTAAATAATTCAAAATCATTTTATATATTTATTTCAGCAAAATAAGTGTTTATTGGCATGCAAAATATTGCAATGCTATATGGATGATAAATTAGTGAATAAAAATGTATAAATAAATGTTTTCATTAAGAAAAGACTTGGAATAAAGTCTTGTATGTTACCATTCCAATATTTCAATATGTAACAAACGATAAAATAGGTAGTATGCATTTTAAGTAAAAATGATTTTTTTTAAATAATATTTTTCAAATTATTTACTATACTTTACTAATTAATTTTTATAAAATAAAATTGATCTGACCAATAATTTAATTTGGGTGACCGATTATCAGTAGATCATTCTCTATCGATTAGAGTCGTCATTTTTGGTATTTGTGAGAAATGAGGTGCTAAAATTATTAATTGACATTGAAAAAGTTTGATGCTTACTAAAATTTTTTCTATCACTGACCAATTAATCAAACCGATTGACCTTTCATGACCATTTTCTGACCTTTCAGATAGTATAATTGTTCAATCAAAATTTTACATATGAGGTACTAAAATCGCGGAGCTTAGACAACATACAAAAGAAGTTCATCAAGTATCTACATTGGAAGCAGTTTGGCAACTATTCTGAGAGAGGGCCTGATTACTCACTACTATGGTCAAGGGCGAGTTTCCTTTCTCTCAGTAGCTAAAGATACAGTTCTCTGGTGTAATTCGCTCTTAAGATTATCAGGAGTCAACTTGACTGTCCTCATAGGCTCGAAATGATTAGTTTTCGAATACCGAAGTTTGGTGTTTACTTTCAGACTCTTTCAACTAAAGATTCAGCTATTAATGATAGACTTTGACCCTAATCTCTGACTTAATTAAGGTCGTGAATGTTTTGTATGCTGCTTCTGATTGCTTATTTTATTGATTGTGCTCACGAGATACGACGTTGATGAAGTCTTTGCTAAGGGCACATTTCTCTATGAATGACTTATCACAACGTACCTCATGTTTACATTATCTTGTATTAATTTTTTTTATCCATGTAAATATTACTACTACTCATCTGTGGCCCTTATCATAATAAATCATGATGATAAATGAATGATAATATTTGCTGTAGGGTATTCCTACTTTTTTAACTACCTCAAAATATTGAAAAGGAGATATTTTCACAGTTGTTATACTAATAAAGAGTGATAACAACTAGTAAAATCGTTTATCGGAAACATAATTAAATTACACCAGTGGTGGATCATGTGTCAAAGAATTCTAATTTTGAATCGCATTTATGGACTTCACGATAAAATTGCTTCAATATGTGATATGTATTCATGTAATAAAGTGTTTGAATAAGTGATATACTTACACTGTCCACAAAAAACACCAAATATCTGAAATGCATTGTTGCAGTATTCAATAACATTTTGTCTGATATTTTCTGAGGAGCTGATTGATGTCGATGTCTTAGATCGCTTCGTGGAATAAACGATAATACTCATCAGCAAAATCAAGAAACCAATTGATAGCCAAATATTCAAATCAAATGGTACTATATATTTTTTCCAATTTAAAATATTCAGTGATGGTTTTTTGAAATATAGATGAAACCTTCAACAACAAAGTACAAAAACAATAAATATAAAACGATCAGAATAAATAGCATATAGAATGTAAAATAGTTTGCAATGCGTTAAAGTGAGAGTGGTGTATTATAGGCAGCTTCACAACCGTTAAGCAAGTTAACACGGGAATTTTTTGAAAAACAGATACCCTGCTCAATTTATATTTCGTAAAAGCTTCGTAAACCTTGAAATTTGGTTAATTCCAGGATTATTAGTCAGGACGTAACACTCGGAAACAATAATTCTATTGTTTATCGAGTGTCAAAGTTTGGCAAATTTCGTTTTCCCACCGTTCATCGCTCACGTAGCGAGAGCGGTAAGAGATATAAAAAAAAATCCGTGAGAGCACCTGTGTATCGTGGACAGGTAAAAATGTACAGCGCTGCAAAGGCGCGCTAAAAATCGAGCATTCTGGGCGCTCTGGCAAAATATAACGTTGAGCGCCTTTTTATTTAAGATTGAAAAAAAAAATATTTCCAATATATTCAAAAATCAATCGGGAGTTTTGTGGGATCATATTAGAGTTAGTAGTACCTTATGGACTCGTAAAAAAGTGGAAAATAAATTTGGAAAAAAAAACAACAAAAAAAAAAATCATTTTAATACGCAATTATTACGTATGTGATAAATTATCAAGCTGAAGCGAGGAAAATTGAACGACCGCTTTAAAAGAAACTCTCGATCCGTTTCGTACAGGAATATCGACGTTTAAATAAGAATTCTGCTATGTATAACCGGTAATTACGGCGTCTGACACCATATGTCCGGATATTATCATGTAAATCTCTCCACAATCGCTCAATGTTCTAAGTATTAGCAGCTGTAATGGGATCTACAACATTTATCTCATGGTTTACTGTCAAATGAAGCCATCCTAGTCTTCGAAGTTGGCTGTAGCCGGGCCAGCAGTCTGACATGATTATTGTTCCTGGACGGATATGTCGTTGTATTATTCTTATATGGATACGACTAGGCCAGTCCGGAACCGGAAGCATGAAGCATTGCTTCGTCCTGGTGTCGATACCCCCGAAAACCCATTGCCCAACAAGCATCCGTTCTCGGTTATACTTTCGATGACCGCTAATCTTCGTCTCATCGATGTGCACTGTAGAATCGGTACCTTCAGTTCGATGAGTTGTTGGATTTCACCCACTTACGACGGATCTGATGAATAATACAATCATAGTTATCGAAATATAACTTGATTCAATCAATAATGAAATAACAATCACATGAAAAATTAATACCATACGACAA